GCATTAGCAAGACTGTGAATTTGATGTGAGCAACACAATCACCTGTAAAACCACAATATAGCACGTGAGCAAGCTGCAAAAAAGTCAAACCAGGTGAAACCTAATCACAATTGTCAAAAATTTTCACCAGGTTTTTCATGTAGAACTGGATATGGCTGCAAGAGGTCATGATTCACACATTCCACTAGACCCAGACGAGCTCTTTTCTCTTCCAAAGCCCTGATATATAAAAGGTGGAGGGAAACAATTTTAAATGAGTTGCAGAAACTTTATATAAAGAACAAATAATTCAAACATATCTTGGGAAGTAGCCAAGTTACCTAGCAGTGAAGGGCATGATTGGAAATTTCTGACTTATTTCACTGAAAATGAACCTAGATGTTTTCATCTTCAAGTGATAATTCTTGTCCACAGCTCTCTTATAAATGGTTGTCTGCTTCTCATCCAACAGCTTAGGCTGCAAATGATAAAATTTTTCACTTCATGATTCCCAAGAAACCACCCCAGACTGGTAATATGTAAAATATGACAATTAACCTACCTTGCCTTCCCCTGTGCTTGCTACTATATCAATCGCATAAACTTCATTCTCCTCAAACTCTGCATCATCAACCCTTGTTTCTGGATTAGACACACTCAGGACAACCTTGTTCCCATCTATAACAAACTGCTTCATCTGGTGGCTAAGAACCCCTTCAACAATTTTACAATCATAGGCAGCAGCAACCTTTTGAATTGCTTCACTTACATCCTTGTTCTGTCGGGGGAAAAAATGAATATCTCAGCATTTCAGTTCGACAGTTAACCAGAATACCGGAAAGATTGATATTCATATCCATCCAAAGTGAAATGGCAATGTTTTAAGATTGTACTATATTGGCTGAAATAGATAAGTTCACTGGCAATGTAATAATCAGCACAACCGTGAATAATCTTCAGCCAATTCACGTCTAGGCAACAGGGAAAGGAGGAAACCAATAAAGTACTGATCACCTCGGCAAAGTTGCCACTATGACAGCTTCAACAGACACTTACAATTCTACATATGCACCAGTAGAACAGAAAATGCTGCAAGTTATTGTACAGCTAATAAATGAATGCATGTGGCAGTTTCACTGCAGCAAAGAGCATCACACTAGGGGAAGAAACAGTAACTTCAGCAATACAATCCTTGGGAAGCAGGTAAGATGGACTTCGGAAGAAACATGCATAAATTGCTAGGCCATGACAACATTAACACAGTTTCCCGGGGTAGTAGATTGCATTTTGCAGAATAAAAGCCCTATCAGAGTAACTATGACATAAGCCTCACTTGGACACTATAGTCCATAGCTTTAAGAGTTCATCATCCAGGGTCATATATAATGCGATGAAGTTTCTAATTCAACCTGTACATATTCTCATCTATTGCGCCATAGGAATGAAACTAGTTTAAAAAAAAGTCCAAAATAGCATGCATAAGCACATAATTATGAGTCAAGACTTGGCATACAAATAATTTGATTTGGAAGTCTATCATCAAAGATCTCTATCAGTGTAACTATGACAATGAAGCTTCATCGGTGTTTAACCATGGCTTTATAGAATGTTCATCATTTAGAGATCAAAATAACAGAAGGGAGGGGGATCAAATTGAAATAAATGCAGCACCAGAAAAGTGAATCGATGCTGTGACATGCCACATAAACATGACTCTACACAGACCAAGTTCATGTATAATTCACGAAACAATCAATCAAGGCAATTGGTGACTGAGAAAGAAAACAGTAAAATATTTCTAAAATCTAAGTATCCAACCATTTTTTTAATCACACCACAGAGGTTGGATGTAGTGGTTCAAATGCAGCATTTACTTTTAAGAATGACTTTGGGACTAGCACATTTAAAAATGACTTCCAAGAACGAATGGAATCACGTGATAGGATATAAACAAATTCATGTCATACAGATGCAGATGCAAGATCAATCACGCACATATTATTACCTTCCTTCCTGGCCTCACAAGTCTCAAGGCTACTTCGGCAGCAGTGTTAGCTGCCGCAAGTACATCAGCTGGCCTTCCTGTAACTGGGCCCTCCTGAAGAACATGAGTATGGGCCACAACCGCAATAAACCCATCTATATGACAACCCAAATCACTGCAATTAACCAAAGAAACAATCACCATCTCTTTTCCACTATTAGCCAAAAGCAGCACCCGTACTTCCAGTATCTTTCACAGAAATATGCTTCGAAAATCTTACATTTTCAACATATCACCTTCTTCCAAGACAGTCTCATCACTGGCGAGGGGAGAGAAATGACAAACTGTGTTGTTTACAGATATGCATGTTGGAAAGGCAACGCCTCTCTCAATCTTCCTTTTAACATTCTTGTACATGTTACCTGTTTGCCTTAATAACAAAAACATCACAGCCCATAAGCTAAGTCAGTATAAAAACAATCATAACGTAGAGCTATAACAAAAACAACAGACACGTTACCCATCGCATGAAACGGAAATGCATCTAATGGGCTAAAGAAAAACTTACTCTCTTATATATGAATCTCCCTTCTCGCAAATGTCGACAATCTTTGCCTTCGGTTTACATTCTGAAATAACTAATTGCAAAGCCTCTGCAGGAGATTCCCGTTGTCCGTCAGCATACATATCCAAAGACACAGGCACATGCAATGAAAGCGCAGAGAAATTGAGAAATAGTGAACGTTCACTTGAACCCTGAGAATTCTATCTGTCCAGTGTGTCTAATAACACCACCGGATATGCTTTTTTGTGTACAAAGAAACCGGTAGAGGCAGCCAGGGAAGTTAAACATACTGTTAGCGATCTCAGCTGCACTCTTGTATTTGGTAACGACTTCAGGAGAAGTGAGATCCAACTCCTTCTCCTCCCTCTCATCGTCCGACATGGTATCTCAGTTGTTGAATTCCTATAACTTCTTAAAACCCAAAAATGAGCAAAAAATAAAAATGAAAAATGAAACATCTTAAGCAATTGGATTCTGAAACCAAAAAACCAAATGAAATTCTTCTGAAATTGATGGAACACTCACCCGAAGGAGGTGCTTGACGACGATTTGAGGGCAGATAATCAAGAGAATAAGGGTTGAGAGAAGGCTGAGAATATGCGGTCGAGTGGAGCAAAGAGATGGCTCACAACGACTAGGGTTACGGCCAGTGAGGCAGCAGTGGCTTATATAGGATTTTTCCTCGTTACAAACTCGGCGTAGGGTTTTACTCTCCCCATTCCTCTGCCTTTTTTTTTTTTTTCTTTTTTTTAATAATTATTTATTATTTATTTGATCTTTGAAGTGCTCTTTTCTTGTTGTCAACTACGTGGGTGCGCCGAGAGCTAGACAGGTAATAAATTTGGATTTTTTTTGGACAAATAAATTTTGAATTTAAATTAGAAAAATCCTTATCACCTGGTTTAAATATATTTTGTATTTTTTTTGCCAGCAAATAATTTTGTATTTTCTTCTATCCATTTATTTTTATAAAAATCACCATGATAAACACTATTATTCTTTCTTTTTTTTTTTTTTAAATGATCTGATTTTGCCTCGCTTTATCTAAAATTCAATATCAAAATACGCAATGCGCTAAGTTGCTGACTTGGTGGACATTTTTTATGTCAGCATTAAATTCAAGTTTGGATTATGCCGATATAAGGTAGGGTCTTGGGAGTGAGCAATGGCCCAAAGTTGCAGGCCTACGTGGCTGACAAATATTGAAGGCCTGGGTAAGGGCTGGTAAAAAAAAAAAAGGAAGGCCTATGAAAAACATAATTATGGGGTTGTTTTTTTTTTTTTGATAAAGCCTACTTCCAAAAAGACAGTAATGGCTTTTTAAATCCTTCTCAATAAAAATTCAAATATTAATTTGTTATATTATAAGAGTGTAGTTCTTTCTACTAGACATAATCCTAGTTGATAAAACTAAACTTAGTTAGTTATCCTAAGCTCATTTGTATTTCATTTTTTTTTAACCAGCAGCTAACATTATGGAGATCAAAACAATTTAATAGTGATAGTTTGATAACATATATATGATAAAATTGTTTTAAAAATTAAGAAAAATATAAATGTTGTACAAAACAATTTGATATTCCAAGAACATGGTGGTACAGATATCATCATCTGGTATCTAATACTTTTTTAAAATCTTATCATCAGGTATCCAACTAACCCTTACACCGCTAGACTAACTTTTTGTTGGTTGCTGATATGGTATTCTTAAATTATACAAGACTTTCTTAGAGTACAAATGTAGCACACTTTGTTTAAAGAACTTATTTTTGCATTATAATATGAAGAATGAAGTAAAAAGAAATAATACAAAAGGATTTTAAAAATAGAAAATTGCTACTATGTTTTTATTTCAATAAATGAAAAGAAAAAAGGGTAAAATAAGACCCAACAACCGCTGTAATCTTATTACTGGTTACTTCTAGCATCATAATTTTATCTATGATTCATCACGCACTTTGATGTTATTTTCATAGTGTTTTCAACACTGTAATCTTATTTATAGTGCATTTCGCACCCTAAACTATAAATAAGAATATAATGTTGATTTTAATTGAAAAATAACATGAGAAGTTGCAAGATGTACTAGGAAAATAATATCAAAATGTCAGAACCTATTGGGAAATAACATAGCATGCTGAATACTACTTTACCCGCAAATAAATGTTACTCCTCCGGTCCTTATTATAAGACCCAATTTGACTTTTTATTTGGTCCTAATTATAAGACCCAATCTATTTTCTCTCTTATATTTATGCATTTTTTTCCAAGATAATCCTTCTAATAATGATAGTTTTAGCCAATATACTTAATTAGCAAGGATATTTTAAGAATAACAACACTTATTTATTATAAATAACCAACTTAACTTACTTCCTTAATCTCCTCAAATAAGTCAATTGGGTCTTATAATTAGGACCGGAGGAGTATTAATGATAATCATAAAATCATAATAGATATTGCACAAAAAGATAAATAAAGAATCACTTTTCAACCAACATCCCAAACTGGCATCATGATTCACGAACTTCGCCTGAATCTGTTTGTTAACCTCAAATTCAATGAGCATTCAGCGGCAAGGTGAAATATAAATAGATATTGTACAAAGGATAGAAAGAAAAAATGCTCCCACCCTTATAGCCAAACGGGACATTAGTTTACAAGTGGTAAAAGAAGAAGCTGTGCATAGCCCGCTTAACTTTCAGCTTTGCTTAATTGCTTCCGTGCCACATGATAACTTTTGCAGAAGATCAATGGCTAGTTGCGAAAGCAGTCACCAACAAGCCAAGAGCGAAAAATGGCACTGCGCTTGTCTGAAAACAATTAATGAAACCATTTATATCGTGTTTAGAGACCAAAAATTGGCGGATGAAAAAAATGGAAAAAGACAAAAGAAAACTCAAAATGAAAATGAAAATAATAGTAATGACTATGAGATTATACCATTGTGTTATATAAATAATGAATTATTACAAGGCTGCTAATAGCCGTTAGGTCAGAGGATCACGGACTATAATTCAGTCAGTGCCCCAAGCTAGTGTATCCGATTATTTTGTTAACGACAAGGGTATCATTCAGCATTATTCCTGTGTCTCATCTTTGTTCCCTGTCCCTATCTCTTTTGCTGTCTCCTATCTCTCTCTGCCCCCATTTCTCTTTCTCTTTCTCTTTCTTGATCATACTACCTTTCACCTATCTTATTATCAGAGCATCCTCTTGAGTATTGCTGCACTGCTTAACTTGTTAAGCGACATACATATCTAGACCTGTGGGGTCAAATTAAGATTAATAGTATATAATTTGGTAAGAGGAGACATAAAAATAAGTGGATGTAAAGAGGAAAAGTAATTCACACACAATCTTACTCCTTGGTGTTTCTCTCTGCACCAAGGCATATGACTAAATGATCATAGAGAATCAAATTTAATGACATAACCTATGCTAAAGCTGGGACGGAATAGAGTACTCATGAGTTTATCCTTTAGGCTATCACAGCCTTTGCCCATGTTTATCACGCTTATGCATAGAAGCTTAGAAGCTGAAGTTCTAATAAAGCATACCTGATAGTCAACATCGTACTTCACAGGGTCTTTGAGGAAGTACTGAAACTGAAATGCACAAGATGATAAGAAACTACAAAGATGCCACAACAAAATTTAGGTGGAAGGGAAGAACAGCTTAACGTGTATTATAAGGTGCAGTATTGTTACAAACATTTTACTTTTATAAACCTGTGAACGAAAATGATAATTGTGCTATACCTGAAAATAGATCTGCGGAATTATCAAGGCAAGTAAAGCCAAAGCATAATATGGTTTACTAATCCAAAGAAGATATCCTGCAACCATAAGTGTCTATAAATTCTTTGCACAAAATATAGCAAGACTTTCATTTCTAGTTCACCAAAATTTAAGTCTTGGTAAATAATGAGAAAGACTACCCTTTTTTTTTTTTTGGGTGCTAGAGAAAGACTACTTTTTACAACAGTTGAGCCGCATTAAATTATCTCAAACATGATTATTCTTTTCCATGAAATTACTAGCTCCAAAATGAACAAATACAGTGATACTCTGTCCTGATGATAAAATATTACAAGCTTTTTCTAACGATATTCTAGAGCCATCTATCCTAGTACATATATTTTGACTACGAAACCTCCTAAACATTATCATATTGATAACAATGCCCCTATTTGTGAGCAATTCTATGAATATGCCGTGAGGAAGTTTCTTAAATTCAAAATTAAGGGGCATGATTGTAAGCATTAAATATGTTAGGAGAGGTGCAGATGAGTCACTCAATTAAATTAAAAAAAAAAATACCAAAGAGGTGAAATTAATATTGTGACACATTTTTAACATTTTTTGTTGTAGTCCAACGGAGAAACTAAGAATGAAGGCGCTATAGAATGTGGAGTGGCTATTTTGTTCAGACTTAAGGGATGTAAATGTACCAGCAACAGATAATTGTGCAATGTCAGTAGCACTAACACATATCCATTTGGCAGTTTCAGTGCCAAGAGCAACTGGAAGAGACTGTTCAAATGAATAGAAAGGTCAGCAGTAGCTACTTCAATGTGTATGTTTGATTAGAACTTCCAAAACATCAGAAGTTCATATTAAAGTAAATGAAAGGCGAAGGATGAAAAGGAGAGACCTGAAGCCCCACAGCTGTATCCCTTTCAATCCTTTTGATGTCCTCAATAATAGCGATGCCCAGCTACAATGTGACAGCAACAATATTATTCACGAGTCTGAAAAGTTCGAACACACATATCACATCTAACAAAATGCCACGTTGCATAAACTACGTACCCCTGATATGCTGTATAAGAGGGTGATAATGACTGCATTAAGTGTAAGAGTCCCAAATAAAGCCTGACTGGTCCACCTGTCATGAAGACATTGATCAAACAGCATGCAGAACGTGGCGCAAATGTAAAAGAAAAAGAAAAAGTGGAAAAAAAAAAAAAAAACCTCAAAGTAGATCAATAAGATCAGAATATAAGACTAATTTTTTTGTAAATGAAAGAAATATTGATCTGATTACCCAGTTAACTTATAATTGCCGTTATCTCATTCTTAATGCAAATCGTATCCAGAAATAATAAATTTATAAGATTGTTCAACTGGGAGAAAAATATGATATCTAAAATTTATATTGATAAAAACCCCCACATTTTGGCCTAAAATTTGAATCTAGTGAATAAAAGCTAAACGCCAATGATATTCAGCAACTCATTTATCTGGAGAGATAAACCAATGGAATAGCTAGTCATCAATTTGACAACCAGGAAACAATTCTATAGCTATTGAGCATCAAGGCAGAAGGTATGACACCATGGCAAACTGATGTATCTAGCTCCAAGGGCAAAGTTTCCAATCCATCCGTTTAGTTTTAGCTGCAGAAACATAAAGAACTTAGTCAATGATCAGAAAAAGGATGCGTAGAAAACATAGAGAAAAAGAAAACAAGGAATTTTGCTTTAAAAAAAATACCTTTAAAGGAGGCGCAGAATATATAGATGACAGCAGTGATCCACTAACGGCAAGGCAGAAAACTATAGGGGAATTATGCCCTGCCTATAAAGGATACAATTTTAGACTTGCAGGAAAAGAGATTGAGCATAGGACTATCGTGTATAGTACCCACCCATACGTCCAATATGCCAGCCAAGGCAAGACCTCCTGTTAGCAGCACCCATATTTGAGTGATAACCTGCAGAATTTTGATAAACAATTATGTAAAGAGACGTCATTATAAGTAGTAATAATTGATATCAGAGTTACAACATACCTCATTTTCATATATAGCCCCTGAAGGAATTGGTCGATATGGTTCAATGATTGCATCAATTTCTCGGTCATACCAATCATTTAGCGTCTAAAACATTAAAAAATCATAAATTTCAAGCTTGAGTCACTTTGAAACCCTCATCCAACGGGAGATGATAAAATTATACGTCAAGAAGAATATTACCTGCGTATAACCAGTAAGGAATGGGCCAGACATCACCATGCACACAAATGATTTGGCAACATCTTCAAGATTCCAGTTGAATTGTCCTGCCAAGTGAACAATAATGCCTCAGAATATCCAAAAGTTGTATCAGACGCACAAATGTATTTATAAAGGTGGAAATTTAAAATAGAGAAGTTTGTAAAATGTTTGTAAAGAACTAATGTCATACATAAAGTATAATTATGAAACACATAAAAATGACATGATAAATGTAACACAAAGGGCAAGAGAATATGCTGAAGGTACTGACAGCTTCTATGGCAAAAGGTGTAAAAACAATACATTTTTTATGGAAGTTTTAAACAGTGGCTGAAAGAATGTTGCCTTTGAGCAATATGAAGCCCCAATCTTCTGCTCATTGGTAAACCTCGTAAAACTCTAAATGGGCGTCTCAATTCATATTAGCAGTGGCACATATGATGGACATCCACTTCAGTATGTAAAGCCAGGAATTTAAGGCATTCTTTTCTTGCTAAATGTTGGCACTTATCAGTTACTTCGGAACTAAAGATGATAAGAAACAATTTATCATTCTCCTGGTTTTTTTAATCCTGGTATAAGAACTCTTCACACAAACAGTGCATTATACCAAGTGCCAACAAAGTCAATTATAAGTAAGATAACCACTAACAACCAATCAACCAGATTACCTTTTAATTAATTTCAACAGTACATAGGATTACACTATTGTCATAATAAACTATGGAACCAAAATTTTTTTGACCAGGCAAATTTCTGTTTTCACACAGAGCTAAAATAGAGTACCAGAAGCAGCAGCACCACAAACTACACCCCAAACCAATATAGGCCAGCTGACAGGCTTTGTAAGTTGAAGACGAATCTTCCATTTATCCTACACAATACATTACAGAACAAATTATAACAACGTACGTTAGCATCATACTCTATTAACATTTTGTCAATTGTATGTACTACTAATTATTGAACTTTAGCATACTACATTATAACAGAATTGCATTATATTTCATCAAATCACAATGGAATTCAGTGGCTTTTAGTAATGCCTGCTGTCATGTTAAGCAATAAACAAGCATGTCATCGTGGGCCACAGTAACATAAATAAATCATATTTCATGCCCTATGACAACAAGAACTATTAGTGGCCAATAAAATAAAATAAAACAAAACTCCTCTTGTCCTACACATCCAGATTTAACCAAACCGTGCAGTTGAGCATTATCATCTAATTTGATTATGGCCATTCCACACACCTAATACTTCCTCCTGTCCTTGATATAAGACCTAATTGACTAATTTGGAGAAATTAAAGAAATTAGTTAAATTAGTTATTTAATATAAAATGTATTATCTTTCATAGAATACCCTTTCTAATAATTTATATTAGCTACAATTACCATTTAATAAAACCTCTAACATGTACAACTACTACTATGAGGACTATTTTGAAAAATATGAATAAATATGAAAGACAAAATGAACTGGAGTCTTATATATTTAGGACCAAATTAAAAGTCAAACAAACTCTTATAATAAGGAATGAAGGTAGTATTCAAATTCCAAACCCATTTTCTAATCATGACTAATTTGAAAGAAGTGAAGGGGAAAATGGAAAAACAAAAAAAAAAAAAAATTGACTCACAGTTTCCTGGGTAGCTCCTTTGTTACCGAACAGTGGATCGGAACTTGAACCAGTTCTAGCTGGAGCTTTTTCTCGTAGCTGAGATTTAACTGCTCAGAGCCACCAAAAGATTTCAAAATCACTATAAATAAAGCAATAGCATTAAGTAAAAGCATCACATAAAGCCCAAAACACCTTCATTTGCGTCGGACTCTGCAGCCGTTATCGTTAATCTCCGCCCTGCATTGTTCATATTCATATAACCCCTCAAGCAATATCAGAGCCAACGGAAAAACAAACAGCTACAGCTTAAAGAACTCAAATTGTGGCAGCGTTTGAGTGCTGAGGAACTATAAACAATTGCCACACTTGATAAGAAAATATTACAGATAGCCGAAAAAAGGAGTGTTTTAAGCATTACATAGTTCAGTACTTCACTCTCTAAGCAACCAAATCGAGCTAATAATCGACCTACTAGGGAATGAGAAAGAGGGTGGTACGAGAAAAGCCCGAGTGTGAACTTGACGGCTTATGGCGCTCGATAATTTCTGCGGTGAAACTGAGGCCATGCAGAGTATAGAAGCCATTGCCTTGAAGATATGAGCTTGGGAATCAAGATGACACGATCAGAGAGAAGAGACCCATACTGGCTTGCAGAAGCACAGAAGGGCGTTATTAAGCATTTGGCCGAGCATTGACAGCAAGCAGCGGAAATCGAAATTAAGCTTTATGTGGAATTATGGATATCATGTAATAGTCAAAACAAGATGACGTGGATATTAATGTTGAAAAACTAATCTGTACCTCATGCCTTTTGTACTCATTATAAGAATTAGTTAATTAATTTAAAAAGATTAAAAATAAATTTAATTAGTTATTTGTAATAAATAGATATTGTTTTTTTAAAATATCCTTACTAATCAAGTGTATTGGTTAAAACTACTATTATTAGAAGAACTACATTAAAAAAAAAATATAAGAGACAAAGTTGATTAGGGTTTTATGTTTATATTTAGGACCAAATACAAATTAAATGAGATCTTATATTAAAAACAGAAAGTAATATATATTATACAATTCTGGCTTGGCTCATTCTTCATAAGACTAGTGCGATTTAATTCTCATGATCTTCTTTACCCAAAAAAAAAAAAGAGATCAAATAATATTAATAAGAAGAGAAAAAAAGATGTCTTTATAATTACAATACTGAAGACGAACAAAAAAAAAACTAAATAATGTAGGATGAGAAAGCATTAACAACTCTATTACATTAAAAAGAGACGATGTCATTGAAAATAATCTTATTAATTCTGTCTCTATCACTCTTGTGCTATAAACTCAATATTTTTTTCTCATATAAAATTTTCTCAAATCCTACGGATGTTAATTTTGAAAATTATTCTGGCAAAAAATAATTTTGGAAAATTAACCGATATATTTATATATAACAAAAAATCATAGTCAGACTTATTCTAGCGTGACGTATTTTTTTTATAACAATGTGCCATGTTTATGCCCACTAATATTTCTTAAAAAAAAAAAATTAAGACAATGATTGATCTAAATCCTACAGTGTCCCAGGGACACAACTAAAGAGGCTACTTTAAGGAATTACATGATATCTTCCTACAACTGTCATTTAATTCTAGGATGGATGAACATTTTTTGAGCCAAATACAGGAGAGATGATGAAAGAGTTGGATGTGAAGCATAATTTCACATTAATGCACTACATTATACTAGTTTTTTAATTTGGTTTTAAATATAATATCTCAATTTATTTTGTCTTTCATATTTTTTTATTTTGCCTTAAAATAATCTTTTTCACAATATCATGACAGCACTTGTTAAGTCGTTTCTATATGAAAGTTAATCTCAATATACATGATTAATAATATTTTGAGAAAGACAATATTTATTTATTATAATAATTAATTCAACTATTTTTTTAATATTTATAAATTTGTTGCCCAACTCTTATATTAAATTTTTTTGTTGTTGTTCAAAGTATCCTCCCACCCGAACGATCAGATATTAATCTCTCAGGGTACTATCAGGCGTTGTAGCGGAGATCCCTCCTAACAATGTTTTTTTCTATACACACCGTTCCAAGGATCGAACCCAAAACGTGATGTTCAAAGTGCCCAAGTTCCTTTTACTTAGACTAATACGTGTTGGTTCTTGTATTAAGATTGGAAAGCAGTAGCGTACAAACTTCAGGGTATTTTACCAAAAAAAAAAAAAGGACTCCCCAATAAGGCTTCACCATTTTTTTCCCCCCAACCCCAATAAGGCTTTTACATCGTGGAGGAGGAGGCAGGTGATTGTCCAGAGAACCTCACTGGCCGTATCATGAGTATCCTAGTATGGGAAAGTTTAATAGAGTAAGTTTTTTACACTAAAGTGGAACAGAGGTGGGATCAGAAACAAAACTTTGCCGCGATAAAAGAGTTAAAGCCATTCGAAGTGGTGCAGCTAAATTACAAATTTGTTGAGAAACTTCCATTGTTTTTGCAGTCCTTACTTAATTTAATTTATAGATTCGTTAAGGTAATAAGAAATTTTTATTTTAATGAATTTAATTTAAACAAACAGAAAAGTAAGACTAAAATTTTTAATTAATTTCCCTTACCTTTTTATCCTGCATAAAGTTTTATAAGTCTGCTTATATATTCATATTAAATCCAACTTATGAAAATCCCACTTTCCCTTCCCTTTTGGATCATTTTTGTCCTATTTAAAAAAAAAGAGGCTGAAGGGCGATTGTTGCTACCCAATAACCCAAAAATTTAAAAAAGACCATGGGCTGGCGGCATGAGAATGCATGCAAATTAATAGTTAATGCATCCTAATTAATCAATTTGATATTAAAATTTAATAATTATAAATAGTGTTAAAAGATAATTTTCTAATTAAAAAACTAGTTATGCCTGGTTCTAAAATTTTCTGTACCGCTCCTCAAACCTCGAATCTCCCAGCATAGAGTCTCTTATAGTCCTGTTTGATATGAAATATTGAAAATAAGAAATATGAATTGAGATTGTAATTGAGAAAAATTATTAAAAAAGCAGTTAGTTTGAGTAATTACTTTTTACATAAGATTAGGCAAATTCAGAGAGGTGAAATTAGGGAATACCATTTTCCTTCATTGTGTTTCACAATCTGACATTTATGGATTTGTCTAATCCCATATAATAAGTATTTTTTTTATATTAAACACTCTTTTAAAAGATTTTATCAATCACAATCTTAATTTCTATTACTTATTTTCAATGCTTCGTACCAAATGGGATTTATATTTCCAAAGTCGCACCCATGCAAAGCGTTATTTATAATTTCCCCTTCCCTTTCGTCAATGGTAATTTCCTCCTTTTTATTTTTTAATGTATTTTTCTTTTAAATTATTGAGACATTTATAGTATGTTATAAGCATCCAAATTCCGCTCATTGTAATTTTTTTATTTCCAAGATATATATATATATTAAAACATATAATTATTGGTGTGTGTGTGTCTCTCTCTCTATATATATAAAACATTGACTGGTAGAGACATGAATCATGAGTGGATTAATAATTAGTGAGGAATATGATTCCAAACTCCACCAATTCTGCCTACCATTCATTCAGGTCATATCCTCAAAATCAGAATCCTCAAAGAGGATTTTCACTGGGATCATGCCCTCTAGAGCTTTTCTTAAAGTAGCGGCCAGCTTCATCCTCTCTTCTGTTTTTTTTATTCATTTGAATTCTCAACACTTACAGCCTCTAAAGTAGCTAGGCTTAGATAAAATGAGATTTATTTCCTTTCTCTAATGTGGAAAAATATCGATTTTTTTTTAAAAAAATAACAGTTATACTGATTGATTTGTTTACTTGGAACATCGTTTAAATGATGATGCCATAATTTTTTTATAGCCATTTTTTACTCTTGGATGATCTCTATAAATTAAGTCTCTTTTTCAGGCAGGATTTATTCCTGCCCTTTGTGCTTAATATATATATAAGGAGAAAAATGACTATTGCAACTAAGCACAAAAAAAAAAAAATACTACCTCCGGTTCTAAACATAAGAGCTAATTAATTAATTTGAGTGGATTAAAAAAATAAATTAAGTTAGTTATTTGTAATAAATAAGTATTGTCTTTCTTAAAATATCTTTGCTAATTAAGTGTATTGATTAGAACTTAGAAATATCATTATTAAAAGGACTATTTTAAAAAAAAATAGATAATATAAGAGACAAAATAAATTAGAGTCTTATATTTAGAACCAAAATAAAAATTAAACGAAATTTTATATTAAGAACCCAAGCTAATATATAAGTTAAACATCAATAAGTAAATAAATGATATCTGGTCAGCACGTCATGTGTGAGAGGATTCGCTAATGAAAAGTTCAGAGAGTCGGGGAGGCAGGCTAAGATTATGATCATACTCGTCAGCATCAAATAAATCTCTGTCCTTTCAAAAATGGTTGTGAATTTTATTCCAAAGATTAAATTTTGAAGCATAATTATAAATTTTGGCATGATTCTCGCAACCTGAAAGTTTATGCCAATGGTGTTTGATTATTAGATCCAAGTAATTAATTATTTTACTTAAAGAATAATTTTTTTCCAACTTATTATCCTTACAAATTCACCAAACACCTCTAACTAATCATTTTTACTTATAGTAATTTTGATGTTTTTGAATTATTAAGTTATTTTCTCTTGCTTATCTTCTTATAAATAAGAGTATATTATAAAGAAAAATACATATTCCTTACATGTTTATTACTTTATTTTAACTAACATTGACCATTTTTTTTTAAGACTGCACAATTCAGTTATTTAAATTTAAAAAAAAAATCAGAAGTATTATATCCGGTTTTTAATATAAAACTTAATTGACTAATTTGAAAAGGTACTAAATTATTTTAAAGTACTTATATTTATTGTTTTTCTTTAAGTTAATTTGTCTCATTTATAAATCGATATATAATTTAATAATATATATAAATATTTTAAAAGTATTATATAAAATATGTTATAATTAAATAATTTAGTAATTTCATCAATATTTACGAGTGTTATATTAAAAACATGAGTTAATAGTATAAAAAACCTAAAAAAAAAAGTACTCATCTAGTTTTAAATATAAGATTTTTTTATAATATAACTTATATTATAAAGAGAATCTTATATTTAGAATAATAAGAATACAATAAAACAGCCTGACCGAAGGTTGTAGGAGCATGTGCTGGCAAACACGAGAGCACCTGCGCACGCATCTCATGAGATTCTTACGTGCGAATATTTCAAATTCCTCACGGGATCCGTCCAAGGCAAATTACCATCGCAGATATCATTGTTTATTTAATGATAATTACACTAAATTATCTTAATTATTAATTATACTTTAGGATATAGAGTTGCCATCAAAATTTACATGTAAGACGTACTAATAATTAATAACTTTTTTTTAAAAAAAGATGGGTACTAAATTTTAAGAAATCATTCAATTATAATTTTTAATTACTTACTATAGTTGTATTATTTTTTTATTATTTAAAACGGTTTTGTATTTTCTAATGTATATCTATATAATTTACCTAACATTTCAAATAATACAAAACTTCAATCTTTAATCAACTTAGTTAGTTTAAATTTTCTTGTCAATATTTAGTATTGAATTTAATACTATTTCTCTGTCTGGTTTGGACGAGAAAACATTTCTTATCAATATTTCAAGTTTTCAGCGCAAAAAAAAAAAAAGGGGGAAAAAGTCCCACCTTTGTTCTGGCAAAAAGTAGTATGCTTTTGGACCCAATAATAATTTGGCGGGAATTTTACGCAGCAATGCCAATCATTATTTTATAATTTTCCCATATTTTTTTAGAATGGCAGCTTTTTATTAAAAAAATGTTAAGATGTAAATTTGTCTGGTAACTTTTCACTTAGAAATATTCAGCACTTAAAATTTAATATTGTTCCAAAAATTTTAAAATCATAATAATTTTGTTTCTTACTTTTGAAAAGCTAACCATGACCATTAGGCTTAAAATTTTTTTCAAGTACTCAGTATTTCTGAGTGAAAATTTTTAAAACAAATTTACATCATACCCTTAAGAAAATCAGTAGATCCTATTGATGTTGGTTTGTTTATTTAGTTTCTTCAATTTTTTCTATCTATTTATATGATTACATATAATATATGCATATTTGTCTATCAGATAAAAGTTGTTTTCATCAAAAGCACGTTGTTGTGAACAGGAAATAGATAGAGCGAAGGTAGGAAATATTCTACAGAACGCTGTATAACATGCGATGGTTAACCATGACAAATTGTTCTAAAAAACTGATTTATGGCTTCAATAAATTAGTATATTTTATGTAATTATCCATAATATTTTCATAACTTGTTTTCAGGAATAGAATAGGATTGAATTCATTTGAAAATACTCAAATAATTTTTCGGTTTTAAATATAAGACTATCTTCGTAGTGTAATTTACACTACGAAAATGGTCTTATATTTAGAACCAAAGGAGTAGTAATCATAAGTAATACTACCTCCGATTCTAATTATAAGAACCAGTTGACTAATTTGAGGAGATTAAGGAAGTAAGTTGACTTAGTTATTTGTCCTAAATATGTGTTGTCTTTTCTAAAATATCTTTGTTAATTAAGTGTATTGGCTAGAACTATAATTATTAGAAGGAGTATCTTGGAAAAAATTGAGTAAATATGAGAGACAAAATAGATTAGGGTCTTATATTTAGGATCAAAATAAAAATCAAATAGGGTCTTATATTAAAGAGTAGAGATATTATTAAAAATACTTGATTTTAATTAGTCGATGGTTTCTCAAGAACCTTATCTTCGAACTGGACGTGAGAAAATGCCCCGTATGGTGAGAGCAATAATCTTCCATTTCATATATAAGAAAACCATGTCTTCCTTATACTCAATATCTTTAAGGTTTTTGTTAATTTATTATAATAATTTTTATAATTGTGACCAAAAATTATAATCATGACCAAAAAAATCATGATAATATTCACAAAAAATCAAATGTCTCTCATTTACCTTAATTTTTCTCTTAATTGGTTTTGTGCGATCTTTCCTTCTTCTTTTTTTTTTTTTCCCTGGCCAGCAATTGGCTTTGTTGATCTTATCCAAATTAGAATATACTCCTCCCATCCTAGAATATACTCCTCCGGTCCTTAATATAGGAACCAATTCTTAAGTTGGTTTTGATCTTAAATATAAGACCCATTTCTCATATTTTTTTATTTTCTCTAAATTACCCTTATGGATACTCCCTCAACCATAATCAAGTAGAAGAGAGAGATGAAGTATTAAGAAAGATGATTATAGTGTTTTAGGAAAAATGTGTTACTTTTCTTATAATTAACTAATTTACCTAACTTCCTTAATCTAATCAAATTAGTTAAATAGGTCTTATATTAAGAACCGGAGGAATATTATAAAATGGGTTTTATATTCAGGATTGGAGAAAGTATTAAAGATAACAAATTCTCTTTATTCTTATGGAAATTTATAATTAATTTTTAAGTAGAAGTAAGATTAACGCATTTACGAATGATATTAAATTTTTTGACGAGAACAATTTATTAGGGAACAAAAAAATAAGACACTAATATTTGTACTGTTGCTGAGATTTGGGAGTGAGATGCTGCACTCCTCGTCGTCTTCTTGGCTCTCCTATAAATATCCGAACTCTTCTCGAGGGGACAAAACAAAGCTGCCTCCATTGCTCTTCTTTGCTCTTGCTCTCTTCTTCTTGGACTATTCACTGCGGTTTATCTTTCTTAATATTCACTCTCTTCAGCTTGATATAGCTATTCCCGAGACTGTATGATTCAGTGAGGGGGATAGAGACAGTGTGATCATGGATACGTATGCGCTGCATTTGGCCGTTGCGGCTCTGGTTGGAGCTTCCGTGGTGTCTATGTCGGCTTACTATATGCACCGGAAGACCCTAACTCAACTTCTTGAGTTTGCCAAGACGGTGGATAAAGACAGGGAGAAAGATGATGTTTCCTCCGGTGATTCGCCGCAGCATTTCAAGAGGAGGCGTTCTCGTGCAAAGAGGAAGGGGAGCGGGTGTTACCGGCGGGACTCGGCGTCCTCACCTGATACTATGGCAATCTCCGGCTGGAAAGATGGAGAGGAGAAGCGCAATGGTACGATGCTGGTTAATGGTGTTCCTGATGGGCTGCCTAGGCTGCATATGCTTGGCGAAGGTATGGCGTTGTTGGAGTAGTCAGATTGATGATGGCTGTGTATTCGGTGATTCATCTATGTTTCATATAATAAATGCCGTATAGTCGACGTAGTGTCGTTGTTCATTCCAGGAGAAGCAACTTTAGGACCCTGTCACGCTACTTAGAGCTGTTACTAAAGGTACAGGTTAAAGTTAAAACAGGATTAGAATTGCTTAAGGTCTCAAGGCTTACTCTTGGATATAAAGGATTCACATGGTTGATGAATAATTGTGTGAATTAGAACTGTAATGGGAAATATGAGAACAACACTTGAGATTGATGTATTGTATGTGCTAGAGGGATTCCTGTTTAAGCTGTTTGCTGGAATTTTCTCCATCTCACTGCTAACTGGGGAAAACGAAGCTGATTTGAGGGAACTTGGAAGATCCAGAAGCGCTATTTATATTGTGCTTATCGTCGAACTTCTTTCCCTGATAACTGAGGGAATTGGAGACACAGATTTGAGCTCATAAGTTTCTATGACATATGAATGGTAATTTAGTTGAGATAGAAAAAGAAGGATAAAGTAACTGGAAAATACAAGTTATATCTAAAATTACTAGGAATGAAACCTCATTTATTCTTAAATAATCATAGACGATTTCTTTTCAAGATCTCCTAGTCTTTGGCTGAATGATCTAGGATTATTAATTTGTAAAGATGTCATGTGGTGATGCATTTCGGAGCAATTTGTGGTACACTGGGTGTTAAAGGACGAATCATACAGTGATAGTGTGAAATGTATAGTTTCACCTACATCACCTCAGTTTCCACCTAACTGTCTGTGAAAAGCGTGGCCTGCACGGACATGGCTATGAATGATGTAGCGAACCTTTTGCTTAACAATTTTTGTTGGGGAAGAGTATTACCATTCTTCTTGATTAACCATTTTATTTTATTTTTTAATAAATCTGAGGGTTACTTAAAAGCTAATTTTTTTTCCATGGATATTGCATATTCATTTTTTTTTGGTATAAGCTTGTCTTCCCTCCCGACCCTCGCTCCTCACCCAAGAAATAGTAATGACAAGAAAAGAAGTGAGAAAAGGTCAGGTAGTTGTGGTCCAGGTATTGATATCCTATGCACGTCAAGATACAGTCTGAGAATCCAAATTATCAGTTTCTAAATTCCATTGCTTACTCAGTGTAAAAGAATCTGTATGTTCTGTTGAATTCTTACTTATTAACGTTTACGAAGTCCCCAGCAATTACGATGAATTTACATTTGACCGTCACTGTGTCAAACATTTGTATATTTATGTAGGTGTGCGTGTATATGTATATTAGACTACTGCAGTGTGATCTTTCTCCAGCATTTCCCCTTTTTGGCTCATGTGTCATCCATGTAAACACAAGGGCACACTGGTTAAAGGGTCAATCCCAATATTTGTAATTTGCTAAAATCTTAAATGTACTTTTACAGGAAAATCTGCGCATGCTGTTGACGGAAAGAAAAATCTTTTGAGAACAACTTCCCCCAGGTCTCCTGTTGCTAGCGCTAGTGCCTTTGAAAGTGGGGAAGCATCAGATGACGAAGATAATGTGACTGACAATGCTAAGGTCGATACTAGATATTTGCACACAAATGGGAATGCTTTAAGTCTTTTATGGGCTTTAAGTATGCATTCATATTAAAGCTCTCTCTCTTTCTCTCCTTGCCGCTTTCCATGGGCGTGCAATTAAAACTAGTGTTTTCCATTTACTCTTTTGTGGCACTTTGTTCATCCCAGGATTTAGTGGTTTGTACCAAAAAGAAGTTTGAATGATCCCTGGTAATGAATTAGAATTTTACCTATTTGCAGGGCACTGGGGGCGAAAACCCATATGAGAGTTTTAATGTTAATGCTAACGGAGAGCAAATGTCTGTTGTTGCTTCAAGTATGATCCGTTCTCATAGTGTTTCTGGTGATTTGCATGGTATTCAGCCTCACCCTATTGCGGCTGACATTCTGAGAAAAGAGCCAGAGCATGAAAGTTTTGCCCGACTCAATATTACTCCAATTGGTATTAATTTTGGTTCATTTTTTGTGAATGTAGTTAATTGTTTTCAATGTGTTTCTCTTGGCCTCAGTAAATTTTAATTTCACTGAAGGTAATTGAAAGTTTAGGGAGTTATCTAGAAAACTGTAATTCTTCTGTTTTCTATTTAGAGGTTCCATCACATGATGAAGCAGAAGTATATGTGATTCTTCAAGAATTCCTGGAAATGCGAAAAAGGTATGTGTTCCAAGAGGCAATTGCTCCATGGGAGAAAGAAGTTATATCTGAACCTGGTACTCCGAAGCCTAACCCAGACCCATTCTTCTACATTCCTGAAGGAAAGTCTGATGTGAGTTATCCTTTTCTTTGTAAGTATTTCGTTAGTCAAGACTAAGATCTCTCAATTTTACCCTCCTTTGTCATTAATATATTCTGATATGCTGCAGCATTACTTTGAAATGCAAGATGGGGTTATTCATGTTTACCCTTGTAGAGACTGTAAGGGTATTCTTCATATTATCTTTATTTCTGTTTTGTTTTTTCGAGAACACCCACTCTGGCTGGATCCTTAGGCACATCTGCTTAATTTTTGCAGCAAAGGAAGAGCTTTTCCCTGTTGCCGACGCTACTACATTTTTCACTGATCTTCATCACATGCTTCGAGTCATTGCAGCAGGAAATGCTAGAACTTTATGCCATCATCGGCTTAATCTTCTAGAACAAGTAAATATGTCTAGACTATAGATTGATGATTATAACCAGTCTACACTGTTATTTGAATTACTAATAATTAATTGCCTGATTGTCTGACTTCTTTTTTAAATGTGTTTGTACGTATTCAGAAATTCAAGCTTCATTTGATGCTAAATGCGGATAGGGAGTTTCTTGCCCAGAAAAGTGCTCCACATCGAGACTTCTATAATGTCAGGAAAGTTGATACACATGTACATCACTCAGCATGCATGAACCAGAAACATCTATTAACGTTTATAAAGTCAAAGTTGAGGAAAGAACCAGATGAGGTGATCAGTTTATTTCTGTAGTTTGCAGGAACTTTTGCTGTTTATGTTGCATAAACTCTTCCTTTGTTAAGATTTGACAACAGTTTTATTTCTTTGTTTTCTGTTTTGTCTTTTGTTTTTTGTTTTTTGTTGTTTTGTGTGTGCATGTGTAGATGCCAACCTCCACACTTTTTGATTGGGGGCGGGCACGCTTCATCAAAAGGGTTGCCATCAAATGCAGAAGTTTATATGATATGCATTATGTTATTCTCTTTTGAATTTTGATTACAGAAAGTATTCACTGCAGCCTTATAAAATTAAAAATTCTAACTTCATTCAGGTTGTCATATTTCGAGATGGGACATATTTGACCTTGAAAGAAGTTTTTGAGAGTCTTGATTTAACTGGGTAATACTATAACTATAGCTATTGCTAATAATTGAATTTTGTTGGCTATATTTTGGAGTATATAATCTCTTTTTATATTCGTCTGAGCAGGCATGACCTCAACGTGGACCTTTTGGATGTTCATGCAGACAAGAGTACATTTCATCGCTTTGACAAGTTCAATCTGAAGTACAATCCGTGTGGTCAAAGTAGGCTTAGAGAGATATTCTTAAAGCAGGATAATTTGATTCAAGGTAACTTCTCTAACAGAATGGATGCCATTGTTTCCTTCGAACTACAGTGGTAGAACAACTTTATAGTTTTGGAGAATCTATTTACATAATTGATTTCTATTTGAAGATTCTACTTCAAACAAGGGTTTTGTAAAATATCATTGGATCGTGGATTAAGTTAAATTCTTAATTAACTCTACCCACAACCTAGTAGTTTCAGATGCAGAAGACATTCTTTTTGGATTCTAGTTTGCCATTCTCTGCAATATAAATGTGTTCTTTTCCTGGCTTGTGTGTCTTCTGTATGATCCTCTACGTTAGCATAATCTTGTTGTTGAAGACAAAATGAGTTGGAATTTTACAGACTGTTTATAGTAACCTGCAAATACTGATTATATAATTAGAGAACTGTAATGATTTTGCTTAAGAGGATACCCCTTTTGTTAGTTTTGTGCAGAATCGTATTGTTCAGTTTTCAAACAAATAAAATGCCAGGTTTTACTAAAAGACAGAAGTTGGGGCTTGGGTCAATGTGGATAGTTTGGTTTGGAAGGAGGGTGAGATTGCTTGAAAATATCATATATCAATAAGGGTTGATCTTACATATGGGGTAAAAGATTGCCACCTGTGGATTAATTAAATAGTGGAGGATGGATCAAAGACATATAGATGAGTAACTTATGATAGGTGCTATCTAAATGTTACAACTGTCACTTGGGATGTTGATATATTGTATATGTGAATTATGATTTAGATCATCTTATTTTAAAAAGAAAGGATATTTTATTTTCATGTGATTTTTTGTTCTGTTGCATTGAATAGGTCGCTTCCTTGCTGAGCTGACAAAAGAAGTGTTTTCTGACCTTGATGCCTGTAAATATCAGGTTCTTTCTTGAATCCTTACATGCTATACATTTGTTTTGAAAATATAAACTCATTCAATTTGTTGTTATCTGCTCCTTTAACATATTGCAACAGTAAATTCCTCAATTTCTCATCACCCATTCTGTAAGCATGTTCAATTCTTGATTTCAATTTGTCTTACCATAAAAGGCATGTGAAGGTAGTTTTTTAAAACTGCTCTTCTTAGTCATGGTGGGGCCCTAATTTCTCTGTAGACTTGTGGTATTCTGTAAAGAGATGTTCTACCTAAGTCTTCATTTTCAGTCAGTGCTGATGAAACCATTTTGAAGAGTAGGTGTTTCTGTTTGAGTTTGGTTTGTGTTTTGATATCATCCTTTGGTTAGAAGCTGTTCAGGCTATTGGGTGGATCAGCCATAATTACTCGCATTTTCAAACTTTTGAATGCTAGTAAAAGGTTCCTGGAAAAGCAATCTCCTTTGTTTTTCTGACCAAAAAAGCAATCAATTATTACTTCCATTGTGTGCAAACAAATTTTCATTTCTTGATTGTGATTTTCTTTTAATACTTCTTTTGACATGGGCATAGATTTTTGCCCTTATATGTCTTCCTGTGCCTGATTTGTTCACAGATGGCCGAATATCGAATATCAATATATGGTAGGAAGCAAAGTGAGTGGGACCAACTGGCAAGCTGGATAGTGAACAATGAGCTGTACAGTGAGAATGTTGTTTGGTTAATTCAGGTATTCTCTTGCTACATTTTCGATCTCTGAACAGTCTGTCTTTCAAAATCATGCCGTAGAATTATTCCCTATTTATCAATTCAGATGGTCTTTAATGCTTGCATTGTCATGTTTTCTTTGTGCATGAATATCTCTCCTTTTTCAGCGCCCATAATGTTGGCATCATGGATTTCAACTTCACATCATGTAATTCATATAGGCATGGTGCACCCATTTGGTATGAAGTTTTCAGGGTCAATGTTTCATTATGTCTGAATTTATGCCCTTGATATTCCTCTTAAGTGCTCTGCACCTAAACTGTTCGGGAATTTCCATCTGTCTCAATTTGCTTAAGCAGTTGTGTTTGTGATTGACATTAGTTCTTTTTAATTTTTTTCCTTCAGCTTCCACGATTGTATAATGTCTACAAAGAACTGGGTATAGTGGCATCATTCCAGAACATTCTTGACAATATCTTTATTCCATTATTTGAAGTTACTGTGGACCCAGATTCCCATCCTCAGTTGCATGTTTTCTTGAAAAAGGTAAAGCATTCACATATAATATGACTTGTTATAAGTTTATGGTAGTTTTATTGTCAAGGCTGACACTAGGATTCTGTCCATTGTTGAATGACCTGTGAACGTATGAAACATCCTAAAAAGTGAATGGCTTCAATGATGGCTTTAGACAAGTTGACTTCACAGCTAGCTTTGCTTGGTGCTACTAACATGAGGCATCCTAAATGAGTGAATTAGTACTTCTGACTTTGCGATATTGTTAATTGTGACTTTTGTTATGTTTTATTTGTTGTGTTTTTTCCTTGAACAATGAAGTATCCATCATTTGACCATGTATTTATTTAATTGCATTTTCCCCTTGCACTTGTAGGTTGTCGGGCTGGATTTGGTTGATGATGAAAGTAAGCCTGAAAGACGACCAACTAAGCACATGCCTACACCTGCTCAATGGACCAATGCTTTTAATCCAGCATATTCGTACTATGTGTACTACTGTTATGCAAATCTATGCACCTTAAATAAGGTCTGTAACTTTTCGCCCGAACAACTTTCATATATGTGTATCTATCTTTAAGTGTTTAGCTATTCACTCCTTCCTGGCCACCACCCAGTTAAAAATAAGAAGGGGCTAAGAATTACAAACAGAAAAATCAGAATGGATAGCTCCCTTCCTAATATCTATTAATGTAGTTATAAAGCATAATTGCATATTGTCATTAATATCATTCATTTATCAGTTTCTTCTGATTGAGTAGTTCTTGTTTGAGGGTTTTCCCACTAAATATATTACTCGCCCTACTCAAGTGACCACAGACTCATTTGCATTCCCTCCCCCCCCCCCCCCCAAAAAAGATAACTCGTTTATTGATTTTCATAACTTAGTTTTGGTATACCCATTGATCTGATACGCTTATTTCTCAGCTTCGTGAATCAAAGGGAATGACAACAATCAAATTCCGCCCTCATTGTGGAGAGGTAATTATTAGTATATTTTCTTTGTTTGGACAGTGTTGCATGGCTACATTATATGATACATCATCATATTATATACAGGCTGGTGATATCGACCACCTAGCTGCAGCCTTCCTCACTGCTCATAACATTGCACATGGAATTAATTTGAGGAAATCTCCTGTGCTTCAGTACTTGTATTACCTAGCTCAGGTTTGGCCTTTTTTCAACCGATTACTTGGTTTGGGTTTTTGCATTTTGGCAGTAACTGATTGGTTGTGGTGTTTTCTTTGTTATCAGATTGGGTTGGCTATGTCTCCTTTGAGTAATAACTCCCTATTTTTAGACTACCATCGGAATCCCTTTCCAACATTCTTCTCACGGGGTCTGAATGTGTCACTTTCTACTGATGATCCACTTCAAATTCACTTAACGAAAGAACCATTGGTTGAGGAATATAGCATAGCTTCTTCTGTGAGACACTGAGTTCTCTATCTCCCTCCTTGCATGGCATACAAACGAACAATACTTACAATGTTTACAATTTTTTGCATCTACAGGTGTGGAAATTGAGCTCTTGCGATTTATGTGAGATTGCCCGTAATTCAGTGTATCAATCTGGTTTCTCGCATGCCTTAAAGGTGCGCCTTTTATCCTGAATCTTCTATGAATAAAATCTTCTATCCCAAGGCATAACTAGTGCCTCCCTCCCTTTCATTAAAACCTGGGGTCGAGGCTTTAGTATTTTCAAGAGAATAGATGTTTTTTTAGTTGATTAAATTTTAGTGTTTATCCTCCTAACATTACAATCAAACGATTTGAGTAACACAAGAAAAGTAGGCTACTCTGGTTAGTTGCTGGCTTTAACGCTCATGTGAACATGTGGTGTCTTTCAGGTTTGAATGCATACTAAATTTTTGTTAGGTTGGATTGTCTGTTTGTCCATGTTGAAGAGATTATGGTGTAGCGAACCAAAGAGTTGATAGTTGAAGTAATTGGAAGTTGTACTTTTGCTTGATGACTGTACGTAATCCATAGATGCAGACTGATGGGTCAGTTCATTATTTTCAGTCACATTGGATTGGCAAGGAGTATTACGAAAAGGGGCCTAATGGAAACGACATTCACAAAACTAATGTTCCTCACATTCGGATAGAATTCCGAGACACGGTATGGATTTGATAATGCTTGGCCATATCTAACTATTTATCTATCTTTTTTTTGCCAACTTCCCACGTTATTTGGTTTAATAATTTGCACTATATTCTCCTTCAAACAACGCTGAAACAAGTTATCTAAAGAAAAAGGGGTGCGTGTGTTTGGTAAACTACATTAGTGAAGCAAAATTTAAAGATCCATTATTATTGTTGCATATATTTCAAAAACACATCACATGATCTCAGTCAATTGTGAAGCAGCTTCATGTGATTTCTGTCCTTGCAGATTTGGAGAGGAGAGATGCAACAGGTTCACTTAGGAAAGGCCATCGCCTCCGAAATAGCCGTATAATATGCCTAGAGACACGTGCTCCGTCCTTGCTTCGAGCAACCCCAACTTTTGAACAGGTCATATATCCATACTTCCCTTTGGACCAACTAGAGACACCGTTCCAAGGAATTTTCTTTCCTATTTTTTTTTTGGGCGAAAACAGTTTTCAAAATCTTTATTATCAAGTTTTTCAATGAAAATATAACTTATTAATTTAGTAAAACAGAACTAGTTTGACATTTAAATTGGTTTTAAATATAAAATGAAATTTACTTTGTTTCTTATATTTATTCATTTTTTTCAATAATTCTTATGGTAGTTACATATGTTAAATGTTTTATCAAATAATGGTTTAACCTAATACATATGATTAGTATGGGTATTATAGAGAGATGACATATTTATTACAAATAATTAGCTTAACAAATTTGTTAATTTACTCAAATTAATTAATTAGTTCTCATATTAAGGATCAGAGGCAGTTCTTGGAATGTGGACTATATTAAGCATTCTTTTATTCGTGTATTTGTTTACCTGGATCGTTTAGTATTGTCAGTTTCCAAGTTGATCCGAAGTTGATTGAATCTGTTCTGGGTTATAGCTTTACAGGTCTAAACTGAGCTCCCGGTCGTCAGCATCAAAAGAGACGACGAAATTCAGATAACCCCATCCAAGTTAACAGTTGTGTCTGATACAAACATACACACACCAAGGCTGAAGAATTTATGGCACTTCTCGGAGGACATGGCCACCCGCGAGAACACCGTACTAAATCAATCGTCCAACTCCCACAGCTACGAGGCAATTTAGCGTAGCGAGATATTTTGGGCTTGGTGATCAAAATAAATTGATCTCATAATAATTACACGCGTTGAATAGATAGCTCTGAAAAATTTTGATCCCATATTTATTACAATCGATGTACAGTAATTTCTCTTTAGTTATGAGCACAGTAACCACAACAATAATAAGGGTGACAGTACGACTTCCTCTGATTATTTGTTTCTGCGTTTCCGTAAAAATATTGCGGGAAATAACTCAAAAATACATTTCTCAATTGAAAAACCAAACAGGTCATTTAACCACATAGGATGATTTTGTGCTGACTCACGATGAATTATGGACGAGAAGGACAAAATTATAAATGATAGAAAGATTAAGTACTAATTTTCAAAAGTAAAAAATTCAGGAACTAAGTCAAAATTTTAAAAAGCAAAAGATAATTTTTCTTAAAAATAATGCATGAAGTTTGTCTCTTTTTTTCCTGAATTATGACGCATGATCACATGTTTAGAGAAGCCAACAAATATGCTCAACTGGCTTGTTCATTATATGCTCATAATAATAGACGCAGATATGAGGACCATGTCGAAACCAACAACTGAATGTAGAAATGTTATGAGCCATGATCTGTCAAATAAGCTTACAGGCGGAGTGATTTGTTGGGTTATCTTTTTCTTAAGGCTGTTGCCTTTCCCTCATATTCCAAAGAAAGAAAGTGTACTTTTGCATTAAGTAATTATATCCAATGGAAAAAGGGCAAAAAGTAATTCTCAATTAAAATGTAGGCTCTCACTACGCGTAACATCTAGTAGATTCACCACAAGATCTCTCACAATAAAACAAGGCCAATACAATGGTGAATATGACAATTCCGATACCATTGGATCTCCAGATCCACATGAGTAACAAGATCTTTACATTTAATCTTTATTATATCTCAAAATTTTGAAGTATAATGGCAACATCTAAAAACATTTTTCATCAAGTAAGTTGCTTATTTGAAACTCAGTTCTCTAGAAGCACCTTAAAGGGAAAAGAAGCCGGTGTATCATGAAGCCACGTTTTCAGAGTGGTACAGGTTTGGAAGTTATTTTCGGTACTTCTTTACCTCTTTAATTATACCATCAGTAAGAGAATCAACATCATTGTTCTTCCCAAAGAATTTTACAAACTGCATGTCAGGCCCCATCAAGTACCTGAATAGAAATCCCATGTTATAAAAGATTAATATTCAACAAAAATCATCCTACTAAGAGGCATACATTACTGGATCATACAATTAATTATGGAGAAAAATAGTAGAACACTAGGTCTAGAACCATCAGCAGTTAAGAATAGGTGATACAGGAAAGACTTTCATTTTTAATAACAAAAATATCAAACTTTTACTCGTGATATAAAGCGTGGGCATTTAATTATGTAAAATGTGATCCAGCATACGTTAAAGTTAGGAATAATACATACATAACTATGGAGTGATCAACGAGATAATCTGAGTCTTCCTCTGTTGTCTTCATGTAATAAACACGATAAGCACGTGCAACATTTTTTATTTCATCTGAGCTACCAGTTAATCCAATCAACTTTGGATGAAATTCTGACATATACAATTAAGACAAAATATTAGAAAAACAAGCATAACTAACCAATCTTATTTACTTATTCTTCTTTTAGCTTCCTTTATACGCAACTTTATAAAATGTATTGTATGACGTATGACCCAAGTACCTTTGACATATTCACGTACTTGTTCAACAGTATCCCTCTCAGGGTCAACTGAAATGAAAACCGGTACAATTTCAATTCCAGATTTCTTCTCTGCAGGAAATAATAAGAGACAAATATAATTATCATCAGGTCCGCATCACAGGATCACAACTAAAGCGAAGGTTCATGCCAGCACATAAGATAGAAACTCACAAATCATTGCAATGCCACACTTTGAGTAGATTTAACATCTCATTGTCATCAAATAGAAATGTTGGCAAGTCACAACTTACTTATTTTATCAACTGCAGCAGCTAGTTTTTGCAGTTCATCTGGACAGATATCTGGGCAGTGAGTAAAGCCAAAATATATAAGTGTCCAATTTCCCAAGAAGTCCTTTTCAGTTACACGCTTCCCATCATGGTTGATCAGATTGAATGGACCCCCAATGGCAGCTTTCCCAGCAGAAGGTCCTTCCTTAACTGCCTTTGAAGCATTGTTTATTTCTACATTAAAGAAAGTTAAATTTAAACAAGGAACAACAATAAAAGAAATTAATCCATGATTCTTCAAACACTCACAGTATGTATGGCACACAATCAACTAAAAGAAATTTTAAGAAAATGGAAAATGCACTGATCTAATTATTTTTCAACCAGTGTGCCATGTTCCAAGAAAGAAGGATGCTTTTTGCAGATAACAAATAATCTGCAGCTGTGCAAGGACATGCATACTGTACATAAAAGGGGCAATCCAAGGTTAATTATGTCATATACAGCGTAGCTGCAACAGTCAGCGCACCTCAAGGTTTAGCATCATAGTGATCTTGCAAGTTAAAGAATGAAGTTTATTTTAAAGCAGGGACAGAGACACAACTTAACTCCAACTTTTTAATCGTTAGAATAAAAGATAATAGGAGATGTTCTTTCATTTATTGTAGACAGTGTAGTATGTTGCAAGAACACAGTCATAGCATGATTGGTGTTTATGAGCCATAATGACTAAGGCTCCTCCTATTTGTATATATTGCCTTTCTCAGATGAATACAATTAAGCAATTTAATTATATGTCCTTCATCAATGAATGGTATTTTGCATAATTTTCTCCCTACTAAATCTGTAGGAGCGCACATGACAAAACGAAAGGCATTAAGAAGGGAGGACACGTCTGTGCTGAATAACCATTTCCAGCTGTAACTAAAACACTTTCCAGCTCAACTGGGAGGAAGCATGCATTTCATAAAGCAATATTTCTTTCTACCTACTTGCACGCTACATCTATTTATTCAATATTTTATGAAGTGATCCTCATTACAAACTTAAGGCAGAGTTACTTGGGAAACATTTGCATTGTACAGAGTACAGACATTCATTTTAAATTTCCCCATCAGCCCATCCAATTAAATCCAAACTTTTCAATCCATGTTGCAGCAGCCCACAAAATACAAACACAATCAAAGAAAGGAAAAGTAAGTCAAGCTAAACAACGATTAAAAATGCTTTGTTAAAGTTTTTTGACATTTAATGGAGATGTATGTCAACATAGTTCACTTCCACAGTGATAACTAGAAAACACTCAACTCACCATAGTAATCTACCTTCAATGTGACGCTTCTTTTCCCTATCATAGTAGTAGATCAGCCCAGCTCCAGTGGCAACCAGTAAAAGAAAGCTCAACCATGAAACAGGCTGCAAATCACAACGTAACCAGCTCATAAGTGCCCTAAATCGGTTTATCCCAATTCCCAAATGCGTAAGTTGTAGATTGTTCAAAGTCCGGGAGTGGATTTGTTATTATATGAAAAATAAAACACTATATAATCACCCAAATAAATGATATCCAACAAATGGAAGATGGCATGAAAGAGCCATACTCCAGTTCTAACACATTAGGAAAGTGGTCACAGAATTAAGATTCATACAATGCCTGCATTAGAATAACATACTTTCGCAATAGAAATCAAATCCCCCGGTTTTCAATTGGGTCATGACAGAAAAAAAAAGCATGAAGAATTAGAGGAATAGATACTTACTCCTCCACGTACGGGCTTTCCAGCATCCGCCTTCTGATTCGATTCCCCAGATTCTTTTCCTTGGTCAGAATTATCTTTCGCGGAGCTATTGGATGATGAGCTTTCTTGATTGGCATTACCAGCCGCAGTACTGGATAAAAATCTCTGACATAACACCAAATATCCATTACCATAACCTTGAGGTCCAACCTACGATTACGAGATAAAGAGAGATTCATAGCCAATAAATACAACTAAACTGAAATAATACACGTCAAAGAAGAACGACTCGGCCAAGAACGAAAGAAGAGAACTTGATATTCCTCCTAGTAATCAAAATAAAGTTTTTCAACAGGAATTTATCAATGAATAGAGAAAATCAAACCAGCTGATGGAGTGGGAGATTCGAAGAATGAAGATGCCTGGGAGATGGAGATGGCGGTGAAAGCGTAGTGGATCTGCTCCGGTGAAGAATCTGCGAATAGAGAATGCGACCAACGCAGCGAAATTGGTTGGACTTGCTCGATATTATAGTCGCCATCAGTTGTGCTCTGCTTTGGACAAACAAGAAGTCGAACTCTCTGCGTAACAAAACACCACCTTAAACCTCAGGCCTCGAAGACAGAAAGGGTTTAACATAATTCGACGGGCACCGGCCACCAGGTTGGCGGTGTTGGACGAGGTGTTTAGATAAAAAACCAAATTATGATTTCAAAAATGTTTTTACAGTTTATAAAATAAATATCTGTAAAAATTTGTCTAGTTTTACAAAAAAATACTTATGAAACCATGGTTTGGAGGTTGCCAAATACCCTCTTGGTAGTAGTATCTTGCTATTTATCTTTTGATATACTCCTTGTCTTCTTGATATAATATTTAATTTGAAGGTTAATTTTAATTCTAAATATAAATCTTATTTTTTATATTTATCAATTCTTTTTAAATTATTTCTATTAAATAATTAAATACCATAATAATACTTATTACTCATTAATAATATATCTATGTATTTATAAAGTGAGTAAAAAACTTATTACTCATTAATTGCACGTATACATCAATTCTACTTTTTATATTTTTAATAAATAATTTAAAATATTTTTTGAAATGTCAGTTTTTTAAAGAAGTTTTAAACTGAGAGTATTTTAAAAAACATATGCCATATTTATGATTATTATCTAATTTAACTAATTTTTTTAATTTAATCAAAATAATTAAATAGGTCATATATTAATGACTAGAAGAGTATTATTTTTTGAGAGAATTACAATGAGATTTAAAAAAAATTATAAAATAAGTTTTAAAAGTTATCATTTTTTACTTTAGAACTTGTCATTATGGGTAGCTTAGGCTAGTAATTATTCTTTTAGAACTTAATTATAATTCTCTTTTTTTTTTTTTCTCAATTTGATAAATTTTTATGAAGCTACTATTATTATTGCTATATTATATTATTACTATATTGATTAATCATATACTACTTTCGGTCCTATAAACGAGGTCTTATAATTAGAACCAAAGTAATAAATACTTTATCAGAAAAATGAATAATATAAACATTTTTTAATAACTCCACAATTTTTTTGAAGATCATTTTTAAAGAAAAATGGTTGTTTAATCATCTCCTACTCCCCTTTTTATTTTCATCTAATTGCTTTCTTTTTTAAAAGAGAGCCATTATAATTTATAACCTGATTGATGAGGTTAAATTTTAACTTGATCAAACTTATATTTCATATAACATTTAATGCTCAATATTATTATTACCATTTGGGTTTTGCCGTTCCTCTTTACCCATTTAATTTTGTTTATAAATCTCACCAGTTTATATTAGAAAAATTTGTCATTCTAGTTACTAGAGCATAAATGATGATAGTATTGAACTTTAATGAAAAAACTCGATGTTATCGGTTTAATTTGAATTTGAGTGGGCTTTATAGCAAAGGAACTTGTCTTTAAACACATCTTCAGACCTCAAATGTGACTGAGCTGAGATTCGCATTTATTTAGATTCGAGTTTCTAACCTCTTCTTTGATAATTGGAACTGTGAACAAGATACACAACGGAACTTCAGATACACAAAGGAATCACTCATGCATATCCTTCTTCCGAACTTCTAATATACCCATGAAACTTCTTTCTCAGATGACAAAACAAGGCAGCATGAACTACTTCCTGGTGAGTTTGAGGATCACAAGAAATAAGCAAACCCAAACTTAAATTAAAATGGAAAAAAAAAAAATAGAGATGGCGAGGAAGGCTTGTCTGTCTCCACCAGCACAATCCGAGGCAGAGGTTAAGGAAGTTGTCGTTCCATCTTCACCACCTACTGCTTCTTAAACGACTGGCAGTACCCCCCCCAAAAAAAAAAATCATTATTAATACGGGTCTGTGCAAGGTTTGAAAATAAAAAGAAGCTCTATGTAACAGCAAAACTCACAAAATATAGTTTTTACCCTTAACGCAATTCTCCAATATTAGTACATAGACAATATGGTTTTTCACTTCTCAGAATAACGAATCTTTTGTACATTAGTTGTTACTAGACAAAAGAACCACCATGTTCCTTGACAAAGTAAATCAGAAGTCTAGTCAATATATAATATAAAATAGCAATATATAAGCTACCTCCATATCTTTAGAGACGTCCTTGAACAGCTCAGCTACACCCTCCTTCATTTGAGTTCCTGTTAGAATACAAAGAATTTGAATTTGAGTCAATACAACTGGCGAAAAACCAACAATGGTCGGTATTTTGCTATTACTCATACCTTTACTTGCAACATCCTCGATTTTCTTTGACGTCCTCACAGCAAATCTCTGAAATGCAGGGCTAAGAATCCACAAGTAAACATCAACATGAGACGAAGTAAGAAGTAATACTAATTAATTACCAACTTGCCGTATAAAACCGGAATAAGAATTCCATAATCCAGATTGCAATGACGGAATATATAGTTATAGTTGTCCCGATATGCCTTTATAGCATCACATAGCACACAACACAATCAAGCTAAGAAGAAAGATGCTTAATGATGCTCAATATTGCAGAAGTAGAAGGGAACATGGGAGTAGAGACAACCAAAACCATGCCATACAGGTGCTATTTAGATACCATTCTGTTCGTGTTCAACGGCCAACTCGTGTAACCAAACACAAACTAGACCCATTTTTTGAAGTATCTGTTCTTTGTTGCACAATAGATATCAACACATAGCATTCGTTTCTAGAACTGGCTCCATGATTAGCTTTGTCAAACACCTGGAAATGCTTATCAACTTCAGCCCCTAAATACTCGCCATGAAAAGGGAAAAAAATCTCAAACTCTAAACTGCAGCGGAAGAAGCATTACATTGCAGATAACTACAGAATTTGAGACTCTTACGCTTCAGGGAGCAAGCTTGCCAGGTACATTCAATCCTGACAGCCTAAACGTGAAGCTTCAGTCAACAAGCTGATTGTTAAAACACGCTTTTCACGAGTATTTACTTCTAAGACTGGCTCCACTGATTAGCTTTCTCAAACACCATACCAACTACAGCCCCTAAAAAAATATTCTCAAATTCTATAATGCAGTGAATGAAACATTACACTGCAAATAACTAGAAAATTTGAGAATCTTTTGCTTCAGGTGGCAAGCTTGTCAGGTATGGTCAGTCCTGACAGCTCAATCATGAAGCTCCAGTCCACAAGCTGATTGTAAAAACCAGCTTTCCATTGTTTCCGAGACTAGGTCCATGATTAGCTTTGTCAAACCAGTGGACATGCATGCCAACTTCATCACCGCAATACTCACCATGAAGGAAAAAATATTCTCAAACTCTATACTGCAGTGAATGAAGCATTCCACTGCAGATAACTAGAGAAATTGAGACTCTTTTGCTTCAGGGAGCAAACTTGTCAGGTACAGTCAGTCCTGACAGCCTAAACGTGAAGCTTCAGTCAACTATCTGTTAAAACAAGCTTTTGACAAATATTTAAGCTCAATCATGAAGCTTCAGTCCACGAGCTGACTATAAAAACAATTCTTCCATTGTTTCCGAGACTGGGTCCATGATTAGCTTTGTCAAACCAGTGGACATGCATGCCAACTTCGGCCCCTAATTACTCACCACGAAGGGAAAAAAAAATTCTCAAACTCTATACTGCAGTGAATGAAGCATTACACTGGAGATAACTAGAGAAATTGAGACTCTTTCGCTTGAGGGAGCAAGCTTGTCAGGTAGAGTCAGTCCTGACAGCCTAAACGTGAAGCTTCAGTCAATAAGCTGTAAATACAAAGCTTTCCACAAACATTTATTTCCACGACTGGCTCCATGATTAGCTATTCCGGGCACTTGGAAAGGCATGCCTACTTCTGCCCCTAAATACTCACCACGAAGGAGAAAGTATTCCCAAAGTCTATACTGCAGTGAACGAAGCACTAAACTGCAGATAACTAGACAATTTGAGACTATTTTGCTCCAGGGAGCAAGCTTGTCAGTCAGTCCTGACAGCCTAAATGTGAAGCATCAGTCAACAAGCTGATTGTAAAATCAAAGCCTTCCACGAATATTTATTTCCAAGACTGGCTCCATGATTAGCTTGCTCAAGCACCTGGAAATGCATACTAACCTCATCGCTTGAATACTCACCATGAAGGAAAAAAGATTTTCTCAAACTCTACACTGCAGTGAATGAAGCAGCGCATTACGCTGCAAATAACTAGAGAATTTGAGACTCTTGCTTCAGGGAGCAAGCTTGTCAGGTACAGTCAGTTCTGTAAGCCTAACTCTGAAGCTTCCATCAACGATATTCGTGAAGCTTCCATCAACGAACTGATTGTAAACAACAAACATCCCACGCAATAACGCTCGATAACTGTGAGCAGGAAGATCTCTGTGGTCTTGCAAGCCTCCAGAGACATATTGGCAACGTTTACAAGAGAGCAGTAGTCAAGAGCTTGGAAAAGGATAACGTTACAACATATTAACAGCATGATTTATCGATTGATCACTAATTTCTTCCAAAAAAAAAAAATCACCAACATATATCACATCCATTCTAAGACATGCTTCATGGCTTAGCTATCAAAAACTTGGAAACACGTACCAACTTCAGTCTTAGAATATTCAACATGAAAGCGGGGAAAATGTCCAAACATCATATATTGCCATGAAGCAGTGCATTACGCTGCAGATAACTAGAGAATTTGAGACTATTGCTTCAGGGAGCAAGCTTTTCAGGTACATTCAGTCCTGAAAGCCTAATTCTGAAGCTTCCATCAACGATATTCGTGAAGCTTCCATCAACGAACTGATTGTAAAAAACAAACATCCCACGCAATAACGCTCGATAACTGTGAGCAGGAAGATCTCTGTGGTCTTGCAAGCCTCCAGAGACATATTGGCAACGTTTACAAGAGAGCAGTAGTCAAGAGCTTGGAAAAGGATAACGTTACAACATCTTAACAGCATGATTTATTGATTGATCACTAATTTCTTCCCAAAAAAAAAAAAAAAGTCACAAACATACATCACATCCATTCTAAGACATGCTTCATGGCTTAGCTATCAAAAACTTGGAAACACGTACCAACTTCAGTCTTATAATATTCAACATGAAAGCGGGGAAAATGTC